TATATATATATATATATATATATATATTATTTTTATTTTAGCGCAGGTGGTTAGCTCCCAGCTGCTTGCTTGCTTGATTAATCTGAGGCATTTCAACAAACATTTGCCTCCATCTGACCTACTACTCCAACTTAGCTATTTTGCTCCCACCTTGGGATAAGTTATTGAGTAAATCAACGGAGCAGCCAAGAAGTAAACCGGATGATGTCGTATTTTTTTAATTTATAAGCTTTGTTGTTTTATCACAAAACGGTGTTGTGGTTCACGAAATTATGAGGCTTAGCTAATGTGATCATTCAAATGCTTTTTTTTTTTCAATCGTTGAACATAATTGAAATGAGAACCAAATAATTAAACCATTTTCAATTTGGCATTCCTCATGCAGTTTGTAAAACATTCCGTGCCACGGCACGTCTATGCCCATACCAATTTGAAGGGACAGACGGCAAAGGACATCTTCACCGAAACCCACAGTGGAGTCATCGAAGCCGGAGCAAAGTGGCTCACCAGCACCTCCGAGTCCTGCTCCGTCGTAGCAGCCCTCATCGCCACCGTCGCCTTTGCCACCTCAACCACCGTCCCAGGTGGCGTCAAGGATGATAGCGGCAAACCAACCCTCGAAAACCAGCCAGCTTTTGGCATCTTCGCCATTTCATCGCTGGTCGCCCTCTGTTTCTCCGTCACGGCCCTTGTCATGTTCCTATCCATTCTGACGTCCCGGCATCAAGACAAGGACTTCGCCAAAGACCTGCCCAGGAGGCTTCTGGTAGGGCTGACGTCGCTGTTCGTGTCCATAGCTTCCATGTTGGTTTCCTTTTGCGCCGGGCATTTCTTCGTGATTAGAGACAAGTTCAAATACGCTGCGTTTCCAGTTTATGCAATTACATGCTTGCCTGTTACGTTTTTTGCTTTGGTGCAGTTTCCACTCTATGTTGATCTCGTAAGGGCAACTTTTACAAAGGTACCACAGCGCAGTTACAAGGTTCGGTTGGATCTACTTTACTTCCGAAGAGGCTAACTCATTACACATATATTTCTACTTTATTATTTATTTTAGTCTCTCGCTCTTAATTTGATGGGATTTGTGCTAAACATATATAATTTTGTGTAATTTTTTTTTTTTCAATTACTTTGTTTGTTTGTAATGGATATGTAATAAAAAGCAGCAGGTCAAATTTTCATTTGGTGGATGACATACGTGACAAATCGACATATTTTAAAATAAAAGCATCTTTAGCTAAATGTCAAATTAATAGATATTATTTTATTACTAGCCCTTGGCACATGATTATGATATGAGGCTATGGTTTGCAGTTTGAACAATGAAATTTAAATATAAAAAGTCCTGGTTTGGGCTGGCCATGCTTTTTTTTTTTTCTTTTTTTTTTTTTTGGGTCAGAAAGGCCATGCTTTGTTTTGTTCCTGTTTGTTTGTTCGGTACTTCGGGACTGGCGCACAGACAGACTCACAGCCAACCGAAGGAAAAACACTACGGGAAAATCCCCAAGCACTGATGATGTCATCATGACCTCAGCTTCGGAAGAACAAGAAGTGAAAATGGAATATTAGCTGTCCTGTTGTGAAACTTGTGATATTGGTAGTAAAGAGTAAGAAGTGTAAAGGGTGAAGAGAGAATTTTCCATGGAAATTAAGACGTGTAAAGGGTGGAGACATATATAAGTAGGCCAAAATAAAGGAGAAATTGCCAGCCTCTACTTTCTCACTTTTTCTGCATCATGGAGCAATGCATATATACGTGAGTTCAGGATTCTTATTTGATAAAGAAACGCCGTGAGTGTGGATGGATATAGGAGCATATATACCAAACTTACTTAAGATCCAAGTGATCTTATAGACCCTTTTTAGAGATGTACCGAAATACTTTTCATGAGTGCTGCAAAATTGAAGTCCCATATAACCATGGTAATGCACTTTTTAATTTGTACCATTTTTTCTTAAATGTAAGGACATCATCATATTGGAAATCGAACTGCAGAGCCTGTAGCAAACCAGATTCTCCATTTTAGATGGGCAACAAGAGATATTGAAACGGAGGCCATGTACCTTGCTGCATTTACAGATCAATGAATATTGTCTTTAGACTTTGGAAGAAGGGATTGACGTCTCTCATTTAAGCATCGATAAAGAAAAGTTGTGCAATCTTCATATACAATGTTACCAAAAGTAGTATACTAGTATTCTTGTAGAAGATTACAGAGTTATGGTCATGGATAAAGTATCTTCTTTTGGCAATTATAAAATCATGCAGAACATGGTTCATTACTAGCACATATATACGAAAACAAAACGTCAGTTTCAATTGTCACTCAATATAGATCAGAATATGGCTTCTTCTGTCACAGATGACGAGATCACGCATATGGATACTGAGAAGATCAAGAAATACTTGTTCCAAATTGCCATGAAAAGCGAATGGAAAAAAGTTGTTAGAACCTATAGGCTGAACGAGAAGGCTCACAAGGCAAAAATCACCAGGACGGGTGACACAGCATTGCACATAGCAGTGTCCGACAGGCAAGAAAATCATGTTGAAGAACTGGTAGGACTAATTTCCAATAAAAATCTCGATATGCAAAACGAGCGAGGGAACACCCCTCTCCACTTAGCAGCATCAATGGGGAATGTGAGGATGTGTGAATGCATTGCCAACCGCCATCTGTTGCTGGTTGATGCTTTTAATGACGACAACGAGACTCCTCTCTTCTTGGCTGCTCTCCATGGTAAAAAAGATGCCTTCTTATGCCTCCACAACATCTACATCAACAGCCTGGAAGATGAGCAGAAACGCTACAACTATTGTAGAAGGAAGGACGGCGACACTATCTTGCATTGTGCAATTTCTGGGGACTACTTTGGTAATTTATGTAGCATAAGCATATATAAAATAAATAAAGTAACAATTAATGTGGTAACATATGTATGTTGTGGTTGAACAGATCTGGCATTTCAGATAATTAACCTTTATGAAGATCTTGCTAATTATGTGAATGGGCAAGGGGTTTCCCCTCTCCATCTTCTGGCCGCTAAGCCTTCTGCCTTCAAAAGTGGTAGCCACCTCAGCCCAACCGACAGAATCATATACCACTGTAAGCATATATATGAGATTCAAAATTAACTTGTGTAAATTTCTGTTGATAGTTCCATTTTCCATATATATATTAATATATTAAAGAACTCATTTTTTTGTATGGTTGGTTATTTGGAAGGTATATACGTCGATTTGCTCACGGTGGAGCGACGGGATAGCTTTAGTCAGGGGATAATTAAGACATTCAAAGAGGAAAAGGATCCAAAATATCCAGAAAACTACCAGACATGCAAGAACTTCGTTTGGTTGTTCTGGAATTTGATTCGCTTTGGTATGTGATCATTGAAAATCAAAATACAAAAATGTTGTGTATTTTCCAAACACCAAGCAACCATTAATCGTAGCCAAATATTAATTATATGCTATGTACTCAAAGACTTTACACAAGCTACTACTTTGCAGTTAGCCCGAGCTGTCAGAAAGCAGATCCTGAGACGCCTGTTGAACCCAAGAGTGTTGAACCCAAGAGTAAGTCTCATATATCCATAAACAATTAATCTTTTATAAATTAACTTGAGAAGAAGCCATGACGATAACAACTATAGGATCCTCTTAACTATTCAGTATATCGCACACCTATGAAGTAAAAACTAGTTATATAAATGCTTATGCATACACACATAGAAATGCATACACACATAGAATTGCATCAAGTGAAATGTCTTGAAATAAAAAATACGTATTAGTCATATTATAGTACCCCGGCCGTGAGTCCGTGACTCGTGTCTTTTTTAACACACAGTCCATTTGATGAAGGTCCAAGGCACCAATCATTTGATTCACTTCCTGCTAATTACCGCATCTGCTTTGAGTATGTCAAGCTTTTATCAAAGGCAATGCTGATTGTTCTTGGACTAGGTAAGTCACTTTTTTTTCATGTTTAATTCATCTGGGTTCACCTATTTAATTTTGAGATGTATATGTTTTCCTTCTATCAATGTGTGAAGGGTCTACGCAGATAAGAAAGATAAGGGAAAAGAAAGAAAAGCACAAATGGTCAGTTCAGATCATGAATGAACTGCTAACACGTACTTCCATGTATGAGTACGAATACAGCGGTATGAATCCGGATCCCCGCAAAGACAAAGAAGAGACACTGCCATATGAAATTGTCGGTGACGTCATCATGGGACCCGAAAACATTGAACTTCCAAAAGATGATGATAAAAAGGAGACAAAAACTGATAAACAAAATATGGGAGAAGGTAACTGGTAACCGCTTTCTTGTTTTGTCAGACTGATACTTGAACTATTGATATACGATATAATAATATTGTTACGTGCTAGGGTCATTAGGAGAAGCGACGGAGAAGAAGACTGAGTTATTGGCAAAGAAGGAGACACCGATATTGATTGCGGCGAAAAGTGGTGTGACTGAAATGGTGCAGAAGATCCTGGAACTTTTTCCGGTGGCCATCCACGACACGAACACAGAGAAAAAGAATGTAGTGCTGTTGGCCGTGGAGAACAGGCAGCCCCATGTGTACCAGCTCTTGCTAAAGAGGAATGTTTTGAAAGACAGTGTGTTCGGTAAAGTGGATGACCAAGGAAACAGTGCTTTGCATCTCGCAGCAAAGCTAGAGGAGCATAAGCCTTGGCTCATTCCTGGAGCTGCGCTGCAAATGCAATGGGAAATCAAATGGTATGAGGTAATTAATTAAGGACCCTTAAACAAACAAATCATCTTATATATTAAAACAAACATATCAGCTGCTTGTTTGTGTAATCTCTTTGAGGCATTTCAACAAACAGTTCCTTAATCTATTTGAGGCATTTCAACAAATAGTAGCTATGACTGTGTCATTCATAAAATTCATTTTGTTAGGTAGGTATCACAAATTGCTTGCTTAATTAGTGCTATTTCAACAATTTAATTAGCTGCATAGGATTTGAACCTATCCTGGCAAAAAATTTCGCCGGGATAGGATAGGACGTGAAATTTTGCCGGTATAGACCTTTCCTATCCCAGCGGAATATTTATCGGGAGACCTATCCCAGCGCATTTTGTCAGGACAGACCTCTCCTCGCAAATGTTTGTCATAATAAACCTATTCCGGCGATTTTTTGTCGGGATAGACCATTAATCTCTTTGAGGCATTTCAACAAACAATTGTTCAATCTCATTGAGGCATTTCAACAAACACTTGCTTAATTTTCTGTTTGAGGCATTATGCAGTACGTGAAAAACTCCATGCCACTGCACTTCTTTGCCCGCCACAATAGAAAAGGCCAGACGGCAAGGGATCTCTTCACCGAATCCCACAAAAATATCGTGAAAGACGGAGGGCAGTGGCTCACCAACACTTCCGAGTCCTGCTCCGTCGTCGCCGCCCTCATCGCCACCGTAGCCTTCGCTACCGCAACCACCGTCCCCGGAGGCATCAAAGAGGACAGCGGCAAACCGACCCTCGAAAACCAGCCAGCTTTCGACATGTTCGCCATTGCATCACTGGTGGCCCTCTGCTTCTCCGTCACGGCCATGGTAATGTTCCTGTCCATTCTGACGTCACGGTATCAAGAGAAGGACTTCGGCAAAGGCCTGCCCAGGAAGCTCCTGGTTGGGCTGACGTCGCTGTTCGTGTCCATAGCTTCCATGCTGGTTTCTTTCTGCGCGGGGCATTTCTTCGTGCTTAAAGATAAGCTGAAATACGCTGTGTTTCCGGTTTATGCCCTCACCTGCTTGCCTGTGACGTTTTTTGCGATGGTGCAGTTTCCGCTCTACGTTGATCTCATTTGGGCTACCTTTAAGAAGGTACCGCGGAGGAGTTACAAGGTTGCTTCGCTTTAGCTTCCAACTTCAATTTTATGGCATTTGTTTTGTGCTACACACATATTATATTATGTATGTTTTTTTAAAATTAAAAAAATGCAATCTTTTCTATGTAAGAGATTGAACAAATTAAGATTTATGGCATTTACAAGCTATGTTGCACCGATACGCCCTCAAAGGGGTATGCGAGTACCGGATACATTTTCAATACGATACACGTCAGATATGTATCCGTACTCGTACCCATACAACATAGGTTACGAGGTTACAACTTCAAGTATTTTATTAATTGGGCTTGTCAATTCAATACTTTAATGGGCTTCTGTGCTTAACCCAAATCATTTCATGAATAGTGATTTTTGTCCACCCCAAATCATTTATGGGGGTTTTCCCAAATTTACATCATCATGATTGTAAAAAATAATGATATCTTTTGGAGAAAAATTGAATGGGCACAAGTTGTTCAAAGCAGGCATCAATTATATGAATGTTTGTTTTGTCGACCCGGTCTTTTTTCCCATGATGATTAGAATGGCACACAATGAAACCACCACACACGTATACACACAAGGACCTATTTGGACTCGTCTAATTTTGCCCATCGTGTCCCATCACAACCCATTCAATTCAATAATGCCCTTTTCTATCCACAAGCCCATTGCCCCTATTAGTGGTTGACCATTATTTGGTAGCATATGAATGAAAGAAAATAAAAAGGGAAATGAATATTCTTCTCTTGAATGATGAGAATGACTTGCGTGTCACAGAAATAATACAATTTTACGATTTTCATTCAATCACGCTCGGTCATGTGAATTGGGTATTCCATAATGCAAGGCAAGTGATGAATTTGAAAATTCAAACCATGTAGTGCATCTTGGAAAATAGAGTAAAGTTTAAAGCTCTTTTTCCCAAAGGTCAATTTTCCAACTCCCAATCTCATTTCTCAGTGCCCCACAACAAAGGAACGAATGTCTCAGGGTCATTTTAGTCATTCCATAAGTTAATTTTCCGAGATTTTGAAGCCGAAAACATCGGCATTTGCTAGAACAAGTGTCAGCATTTGCAGCTGCTGATCGTTTCGCACTTTGTCTAGGGGAAGATATAATCTCCCATATCAAACACTCACACAATTGCTTCCGGTCTTCATGCTTATATTAAATTATTAGTTACCGTTACCTCCTTTTCTTAGTGCGCTCTGCTGCAGAGACTGCAAATTCACGTAATTCTATTGAGGTAATTACATTGGTAAGAAGAATTGCAATAACTTCCGTGTCTATTTTATTTTATTTTTTATACAAATGATATTCGAAGCTGCTAAAGATTCAAACACAGGATTCCGAATGCAGGGATAACAGCCCACTTGAACTACAAGTCCCTTACGATTTTCGTATCAATTTATAAAAATATAATTTTTCAAAACAAAATATACATTGCTTCTGGTCTGAGTGGTGCACACAACACTATGCCCTCCAAATTTTTTTAAATTCCATTGAGCAGCATAAAATATTTGACAGTAAATTCGGAGGACCCCATATTATGGAAACTGGAGAGACAATTATTTTTTGGATGAGATCCAAGGGTGTACACTGTCGACAGTAGTGACTAATTCCTTTCGCCGCGGGAGCTCCTAGAGAGACAATTATTGATGTAATAGAAACCAGTCAAATCTGCCAAAATCGTCGGCTTTGGCACGCTGAAATGACGTCGTCTTGGCCTGCATTAAGTTCAACTTGGCCATATCTTTCCTCTAAATGGTGTGTAATTGTTGTCATTTTTGTTTAATTTATTGAGATTAGTTTTTGAACCCCCAACCAGCAGGGGATGTATTTATTATTTCTTCTCTGGTCTCCCAATTGAAGAAAAGTGAGTGAGAAAGAGAGAGAGAAAAGGAAAAGACTTTCTCTTTTAACAAACAAAAAAGAAGGCAAAGTTAAAGTGGGTATTTTTCATTTGGATTCCTTCGCTTGGTTGCTGTCCTGGCCCCATGTCTCTGAAGCTCTCAGCTTGTTATCTGTGATAAGGGTTCTGCAAATTCAAGCCATAAGTGAAGTGGGTCTCTTTCTCTTTTCTCCATCTCACTTGTTTGCTTGTGGGGGTTTTGGCATTTTATGAGGTGATTGGGTGGGCACTGATGAGATTGTTCGAACACGTTTCTGGTAGAGATCTTATGTAAACTATCGGTGGGTGTTTGGTCTTTTCTGGTTTTATCTGCTTTCGAACATTGAGTAGAGGACGGTAATTATATTTTGTTGTTAACTAAAAAGCATCTGAGCTCAAACAGAAACGTGGATTGTCTATATGATTCTGATTCTAGAAAGAGAAAATTTTGATCTTTTTTGGTGAATGAAAAAGGACCCCTAGTTTTTTGTTTTTTTTTTCTCTGGGGTGAATTAGGTGTGTATCAAGTTGTTGAAATAGGTCCATATAGACATTAATTGTGTTTGTCTTTGTTCTTATTATTTGAAATTTTATGTCTGATTTAGCTTCTAGTGGGTTCATTGGTGGGATATCTATCAGCCAAGTGATTTGGGATCACTTGAAACTTTTCTCTGTAATTTTTTTCCCCAATATTTGTTGTGTTTGAGCTTTGGAGAGAGAAACCCATCTGGCTATTTTGGAGATCTGGGATTTGCTTAGTATCTTATGCCCTATGAGGACTTTTTTCCCCTCTGAGTCTGGTAAAGAATCACAGCTCAATGCTCTCAATCCACAGTCTTGGCTCCAGGTTGAAAGGGGGAAGCTTCCCAAGCTTCCATCAAACTCCTCCTCTTCTTCCATGTAAGTCATTCTTCCAATTGTTTTAGTTTCAGTAACTATATTTTTTTTTCCCACTTCACAATATTGATTTCTTCTTTTCTATGTTTGCGGTGATGGATGTGGAATTACTGTAGAGAATCTCTTATCAAGGTCCCTGAGCCGCCAGTACTCCCATTCTTTAAGCCCGTCGATTATGTAGAAGTTTTAGCTCAAATTCATGAAGAACTTGAATTGTGTCCTCCAGAAGAGCAGTCGAACCTTTATTTGTTACAATTTCAGGTCTTTAGGGGTCTTGGAGAAGTCAAATTGATGCGAAGAAGCCTCCGTGAAGCTTGGCAGAAAGCCAGCTCCATTCATGAGAAGCTCATATTTGGAGCATGGTTAAAGTACGAGAAGCAAGGGGAAGAGCATATTTCTGACTTGCTCGTGACCTGCGATAAATGTGCACATGAATTTGGGCCAGTAGATATTTTGACTGAGCTTCCTATTGATGCAACTGTGAGTAGTACCCATGAGAATATTTCAATGAATGGGAACCAAATAATCAGAAATGTCAGTTTTAGAATTGAAGATGAGAAAATAGATTGTGACAGGCAGAAAATATCGAGTCTTTCTGCTCCATTTCATGCCATGCTTAATGGGTGTTTCTCGGAATCACTTAGAGAGGACATAGATTTGTCGCAAAACAATATCACTGCATCAGGTATGAGGACAATCAATGAATTTACTATGACAGGTAGCTTGAATGAAGTCCCTACTCATCTTTTATTGGAAATACTAGTTTTTGCAAACAAATTTTGTTGCGAAAAGCTCAAGGATGCTTGTGACAGGAAACTTGCATCCTTGGTGTCTTCTAGAGAAGATGCAGTAGAACTCATGGAATATGCTCTTGAACAGAATTGTCCTGTCCTTGCTGCGTCATGCTTACAAGTTTTCTTAAATGATCTTCCTGGTTGTTTGAATGACAGCCGAGTGGTGGAAATATTCAGGGGTGCTGATAAACAACAAAGATTGATCATGGTTGGGCTAGCTTCGTTTTCGCTGTACTGCTTATTAAGTGAAGTTTGTATGAACCTTGACCCTCAGTCGGATAAAACAGCTTGTTTCCTGGAGCAGTTGGTAGATTTTTCTGAAAATGATAGGCAAAGAATGCTGGCATTCCATCAGTTGGGATGTCTGAGGCTCTTGAGAAAAGAGTATGACGAAGCTAAGCGTCTTTTTGAGGCAGCTTTAAATGCAGGCCATATATATTCAGTTGCAGGTTTAGCTAGGCTGAGTTACATTAAAGGCCATAAACTTTGGTCGTATGAAAAGATGAGCTCTGTAATCTGCTCTCTTACCCCACTTGGATGGATGTATCAGGAGAGGTCATTATACTGTGAAGGTGATAAGAGATGGGAAAACCTTGAGAAAGCGTCTGAGCTGGACCCAACTCTCACTTACCCTTACATGTATCGGGCGGCTACATTAATGAGAAAACAGAATGTTCAAGCTGCACTTGCCGAAATTAATCGAGTTCTGGGGTTTAAACTTGCATTAGAATGCTTGGAACTACGGTTTTGTTTCTATCTCGCCCTCGAGGATTATCAATCAGCCATTTGTGATGTTCAAGCAATTCTTACTCTCTCCCCAGATTATAGAATGTTTGAGGGACGAGTGGCAGCATCCCAACTTCGTACACTTGTGCGTGAGCATGTAGAAAATTGGACAACAGCAGATTGTTGGCTGCAATTGTATGATCGGTGGTCTTCAGTTGATGATATTGGGTCCCTCTCTGTTATTTACCAGATGCTTGAATCTGATGCAGCAAAAGGTGTTCTGTATTTCAGACAGTCATTGCTTCTTCTCAGGTATGTTCTGGACCCCCAAACTTTTGTGGATTGTGACATAGTTCCTTTTATTTAAAGAGGCTCAAGTTTTTTGTCATCATGTAACTTGTATCCATGTTTAACCCAAATAATGTGCCCATGCCAAGTTGATGATTTCCAATTCTTAAGATTAAAATTTTCCAATGATAAAACTTTCTGGTTCCCAAATTCTGCCTTTGGTTCCCTGCTCTCTTCCATATGATACTTTTGGTGACATTCTATCTTGTTAATGAAAATTTCAGTAGAAATCTCATGTTTCAACTTGATCAGGTTGAACTGTCCTGAAGCAGCAATGCGAAGTTTACAATTAGCTCGTCAACACGCATCCAGCGAGCATGAAAAGTTGGTTTACGAGGGGTGGATCTTGTACGATACAGGTCATTGTGAGGAAGGGCTCCGCAAAGCAGAGGAATCTATCAAAATTAAAAGATCCTTTGAGGCCTTCTTTTTGAAAGCCTATGCACTGGCAGACTCTAGTCAAGATTCGTCTTGTTCATCAACTGTTGTATCTCTCCTTGAAGATGCCTTGAAGTGCCCCTCGGACAGGCTGCGGAAAGGTCAGGTATGTATATTGTAACCAAATGGTGAAAATCTTCCTTATTCTAATTTCTACCGGTTGTCCAGCAAAAGTGTATTTCACATTCCGCTGGACTAAGGTGCAAAAGTCTGTAGTCTTTAGTGATTATTAGGATGGCTTATATCAATCATTTCCAAGAAAGGCCTAAAAGGCAAGGAGCATGAAACTTGTTCCCTCCTTGGGAAAGTCTACAAGATTGAGGATACTAATGGCTTAGGGCCATCTAGAGGTAATAGCTCCAATATGACAAATTGGATCAACTGTGCAACCAGAGTTTTTTCGGAGCTCTCTAAACTTGTTAAAGAAGCTGTGGTCATGGACTTCTAGTTTCAGCATATTCTAACCTTTCTATGTTTCCTTCAATTTTTCATTTACCAGGCACTGAACAACCTTGGAAGTGTTTATGTTGACTGTGGCAAGTTAGACTTGGCAGCTGATTGCTACATAAATGCTCTGAAGATCAGGCATACCCGAGCCCACCAGGGGCTTGCTCGGGTTCACTTTCTCAGAAACGATAAGGCTGCTGCATACGAGGAAATGACCAAACTGATTGAGAAGGCACGGAATAATGCATCTGCCTATGAGAAGAGGTCTGAATACTGTGATCGTGAACTCACAAAGACCGATCTAGAGATGGTCACCCGCTTAGATCCACTTCGGGTGTATCCTTACAGATATAGAGCTGCAGGTTTGATTTCTATTCCTCAACCCTCGTACTGTATAATTGTGATACTACCTAATGTTAGTGGGCATAAGATATCTAAAACAATTACATGATGTTGATAATATTTGCTGGAGTCTCTTCTTAGAAGTTTCCGATTAAAAGCGAGACTTGATATTGTCTGGCAGTAACTCCTACTAAGTTCGGTATTGAAGTGGAATTTTGTTTTGTTGGATGGAACAGTGTTGATGGATAGCCACAAAGAACAAGAGGCCATTGCAGAACTATCAAGAGCAATTGCATTCAAAGCTGACCTCCACCTTCTGCACTTGCGGGCTGCATTCCATGAGCACACCGGGGATGTCATGGGTGCTTTGCGAGACTGTCGAGCTGCTCTGTCTGTCGACCCAAACCATCAAGAGATGCTGGAGCTTCATAGCCGTGTAAACAGCCATGAACCATGAACCATGAACCATGAACATAGAAGTGGAAACTAAAAAGATGAAATGTTAGTTAAAAGTTGTATCAAACACCCTCCGTGTATACTAGCAAGTATACTTGTGCAACCTCTCTGCCATATCTCTTTTCTTTTTTTACAGGTCAAAATTTTGTAATTTATGATTTTGGCAATATAATATATCAATTGCAAGTTACCCATGTTCTCTTCATTTTTTTTTATTTTTTATAAGCCTACTGCCATCACCAACTCACTGGCTTCCCCTTCCATCACCAGTTGGCGCTCGGGGGAAATATAAAATATTCGGGGAAACATGCTTACAATCCCACAGAAGAAAATCATTTGTTTCTTGAATTTTTGTTATGTTTTTCCCAATGTTCGAAAAATTGCTAGGTGGTAGACGGTCGGCAGGTAGGGGTCTGGAGCTTAGAGTAATCGGGACATAGGGGTCTAGAGCTTAGAGGAGTAATCGGACATAGATGAATGCTTAGGCATTTCTTTTTATAAAAAAAAAAAATTATTTAGTATTATAAATTATAAATTTATACCAAAATTATGTAAAATAAAAGGATATATAAATTATAAAGTACCATAATTGATATAAAATATTACCATAATATATCTAAATAGGACATTTGGTTTTATTGGTGTTTTAAGTCCAGGCCCAATTGAAAGCCCATCTCTCATTTTGTTTTTTTTTTTGTCAACATATAAGTCTAACACGAGCAGTTTTCCAGCCCCTCTCTCTCGCTCAGACAAAACCCGCGTCCTCTCTTCTCTCTCTCTCTATCGCTCATAGTCATAGCACCATCGTCATCTCATCCCTGACCTTGAAGATTCCAAAATGGCCTTTTTTTTTTGGGTCAGACCCGCCCAGGCCGATTTTTCGAAAACTGATATTTCCAATGCTTTAAAGAAGTGTAATGTAATAATCTTGAGAAGAAATTTGTGCTGATTTTTTAGGACCTTCTCTTCCCATGAATGGGTGGAAAATGCACTACGCCCAGAAAAGCTACAGGCAAGCAAGTTATTGCATCAACCAGAAACGCAATGTATTTGAGCTTTTTTCTTTAAGAATGAAGAACTTGTACGGCGCAAATAGAAACCAACATGGAAGCCATGGACACGGGCAAATATGACAATTCCTTTGAATATTTGATCTTTGTTGTAATTTGACGTATATATATACACATAATCAGTCATGAAATCATGATAGAAACATAACCTGTACATCTAAATGATCTTTAAGATCAACCGTTGGTAACAAAATTTCAGCTGCAAGTGAGGCACAGATTCACTTGAACAATCTTTGCTACATATGTACAATCTTTCAAATTTTCTAGTTTGTATATTTCATCGTGACAGCATTACGTACACTTCGGAACAAGATACTAATGTCGATGAAGAAAGAGTTGATTAGCTGAAGCATGTGCAGATTTTGCATCCATCAAAATGGTGGTACTATCTCAGTTGAGTTTGTTAATGCCGAGGAAGTTAAGGTCTGAAGTAAATAAAAGAAAGAAATATAAACCTGCATTCTGCATTTTAATTGAAAAATATGAGCTGTATGTAAAGCCATTATAAGTTTGGTCAGCAGTCAGTACCTCTAGGAGGAAAATCAGTAGGTAAAACGTTCCAATGAACTCATTCCCTGGAAGGAGGCTGGAAATATGGATGTCGCAAAGCATCATCAACACTCGACCGCTCCTCCTGTAGTTCAAATGTTTCAACTGTCACATTTATACAAGAGATTCCGTAGTTTGCCAGATAACCGCATAGTAGCAGAAACAAAACTTAATGAGTTCTCCTAACCCGGAAACTTGTGATTCCCTAATGTGATGCCACTAACCAACAATTCTTAGAAACTCCTCTCACTAGTTCAAAGAGAGAACAAAAAAACTAAGAATTAGAACTTACAGGATCCCAGAGTAATAGCTGGCGTACCAACCGCAAAGCCCAAACATTTGGAAAGCTGCAGTTTCCAAGAAGTATATGGCATGTTATTGCAGCATCAATAAGTACAACATAAATCATGTTTAATAAGACACTACTGATGCAAACAGTTACTAACCCTAACTTAAGCGGATCTCTACTCTTTATTTGATGGGAGAAAAACTCTTCTGAGCATTTCCAAGAAGCCGGTGATGCTCCAGCCTAGTCTCAAAAGTGAAAACACATTAGCTTAACATTGGAACCAGAATATCTGCACAAGCTAACTTGCAATAGATAAAGAGTTTAAAAGGAAAAAGAGAAGAAAAAAACCATCCTGATATTATCCATGAAAATCATTTCCACACTACATTTATCACCACACTGTCCTCTAGGATGAGGGGAAAAATAAAACTGACTAAGAATGAGAGTCTGATGTCATAGTGACACATTCACAGAACTATTTAGCAGTGACATATGGTAAACTTACTTGGCTCGTTGTTCGGTGATGTCGTAAGAAACTCCCAGGGATTAAGATGCACAACTCCATGAATGATCTAAGTCTGTCAACCAGAAAATGCATATGTAAATACAAAATTAAAACATAAACTTAGAAAATGGAAAAATATTGGATGCATAAAACTCTTACTACTTGCATGCATCATTTTCTAAAGACAAGTACTCCTAGCATGAAGGGGATCATATTGTGTTTGCAGAACATAGTGATCAACGTTTAGGACTGAGTATCACTTCATCATATTATATCATATTCCTGCTACCATGCTTCCACATCATAATGAACATAATAGGAACTCCATAAAAATCTAAAATAACATCATCCTTTTACAATGAATCCCCCCAATAACTGCTAGGGCATGACAAAAAGCTGGTAGCTACTTACTCACTGTATTATGGGTGTGACAACTGTCTAGTACGAGAGAATTACTCTCTCTATTTATATGCATGTATACATGTGTACACCACAGACCAAACATCCTACTACAGATAATGGTGCATGGTTAAGAAAACCTGCAGATAGATGATACATGCTTTCCCCTATTAAAACGGAAAGTTACTTTCGATAATTGAATCAGTATATCCAAACCTTTTTAATATATATGAACTACATTGTTTATAATCCAACAGTATGCTGCAGAAGAAATGGAGCTCGAGTTCAATATTAACAAATACATGAAACAATAAACAGCCCTGTACATAGATCAGTGAGTATCATCTCATCAAAGTTTTCAGTGTAACAAAATAAAAGCATAACCAAAGCATGTCGTGGACAGTTGTAACAGAAACAACTCTATCAAAGAGAGCCAATCCAAAAGTTTATTTCCCTTGATTAGTTGAATATACACATAATATATTAGTGTCTTAAACTCACTTGTATGCAAGCTCCTTTAAGCCTTCATTCCATCCCTTTATATGCCGGTCTAAAAGAATACTTGTGTGACTACTAATCTGGAAAACATTTGGTGATCCTAAGATCAACTCTAGCATCACAACACCAACACTCCACATATCGTACCTGTCAAAAAAATCAAGTAATTCTGAAAAATTTAGTCCAACAGACATGTGGTAAGATACACATTTACAGTCGGCACATAAGATCATCTTTCTTCACGGAAATGGATCAAGAGCTAAACTTAATCTAATATACTAACTTACTTTAATGTTGTGTTGGTGGGCCTCAGGTACCAATTAGAATGAAGTAAGGCTTCAGGGGGAGTATATTCATTAGTCTGTTCAACTCTGGGGAAACACAAAAATCAATCATAAACTTGTCACAATTTTTTATAAATAGATAGATAACCGGAAATGCCCACAGTAAAAGATATACCTGGATGGTCCAGTAGACCCATATAAATGCTTTAGAGTGAACTCATCCATTGCACTACCGAAGTCAATAATCCGCCTAAATGATTTACCCAAAAGGCATCAGATTAATAATACAATCTAATTAAAAGCATGACTACTATCATATATCAGGTTATATACTAGAATCGTAAGGTGAACTCTACATTTTGGTGGTGAAGTTTTCGCCATTTGGAATTCCTTTCAGACATCTCCCTGTGTCTTCCTCTTCAAAGCATAACACCATATTTTCTACAAAATATTAAAGCATTTAAAATAAGCATGATGCAAAAGATCTAGCTTCTATAAGCTGGACGATGTATACAAATATTTGAATAAATTTCATTGACATAAAGAGAACACCAATGGATCCTGAACGACCTGAAAGAAGAACTCAGATTCAAAATCTTTGTAGATTTAAGGGTACAGCTTATTAGATAATTAAATTTGCTTGACTACATGCTAAAAATATTTAATATATTATTTTTATTGGTCAACAACAAAAATCAGAAAGAAACAAGTATGACTGCTAACCAATTGGTTTCATTTTCAAAACTATGATACGTATGAACAAATTATTTTTTACAATATATACCTAAGGTGTAATATTAGAAAACAACGATGTACTCACCAGGTTTGATATCTCTATGGGTAATATTTCGGTCATGACAGGACTTCAATGCCATCAACTGGAAAAATTGAAGAAGATCAAGTATCAAAATGAGTGCATTGGTCTAAAAACACAAGAGCAAGAAAATGAACAACTATGGTACATAAAAAGGCTGAAAGAAACTTATGAAAACTATGCCACCATGTTTTTTGAAACAAATTCAATTTTAATACCAATTATAAGAAAGAAAGTTCACCAATCTTGGTTATGACTAGAAAAACTGCCTAGGGAGTCCTTGTATTCTCACTAGCAAACTTGACAAAGTTTTAAAAACAGACACGCCAGAATCTTTGAATGAAAAGGCAATCTTCTGATTAAGATTAACTATTCATTGATTCTTTTTATAGTAAACCTCCCAATGATATATGATAGCAATATGTAAATCAGTAATTACTGAGTATCAAAGCAGTTCCATGAAAATTAAAGACGTGACATACCAACTGCCATATAAGACTGCGCATTTGCTCCTGTCCTGCTTTTGTTGTCTTCAACCAATGCCACCATTTTGATGGACGCAGCATCTGGACATGATTCGCTTTTTCAGCTTTTTCTTCATCTGCATTAGTCTCTTCTTCCACAGTATACATAAGCTTTGATAAAGACACGCCCTCATAACGAAATACAAGCCATATTTCATTTGCTTGAGATTCAAAAGACTCCACGTATCTAGCAATATGGTCCAACCCTTCTTCATAGAAACCTCCATGAAATTTTTCTTCAAACAAGTTTTCAGAAGTCCAACTATTTCCTGTTTCATAGGCCGTTGGGTCAGTTGTTTCTAACAAGCCATAGAAATCAAACTGTGATTCATTCAAGATGGAGGTTGACATTCCAGCTGATAGAGAACCTCCAAGACGATTAGAGGCATTCAGAAAAATTTCCCCAAAATACTTTTCCCGTAAACCACTTAAGTAAACAGCAGCCCCTTTCTCCACCTGTTGCAATTATCACGCACCCATTCTTAAAATAAGAATCATCTGCAAAAACATATATATAAAACCATAAACCAAGAAGACAAAATGATTTCAAGGTTTTGAACCCCGCCTATTTATTCTGTTTACAGAGAAATTACTAGTCACATGATTTAATTGATCAAAGTAAATACCATTATGCGTTTTAAAATGAGCAAGTTCTCATCAGGAAGGCCTGCATGACAATTGTGAGGAAATCAGCTATTATCTTTGATGTGAAAGTCAAAAAAAGGAAAGAGCTAAATGAGATATTCTTACTTTTCCCACTTGAATTTGACATATTGCTGCCTTGATGATAGTTCCAATTAAAAGCCAGCCATACTTCACCATACGATCCACGACCAAACCTCTTTTTTAGTACATACCTGACAGCCAGGAAGGACAATGTTTCTTAAGATCATTTTAGTAGTCTGAACTATATGACAAAGGTCACCAAGACAATCAAGGAGAGAAAAGATCTTTACCTCCTGTCTGGCATTGAATATTCAAATGATCCATTATTTGAGCCAGCATCATGGAAAGGAATTGATTCAAGCAAAGCAAGGAAACTGGCAAAGCCTTCAGGATTTAAGCATTGATCTTTAGCATCAACAGTAATTCCAAGGTGCAAGCAAAAATTCTGGTCATGGTACAAATTTAGAGGTCCCCCTAACATTTAAATTTAAAAAAAAAAGTTTAAATAGGCGCTGTATAACAGATACAAAATACAACTACAAAACAATTTGTATAAAAGTTCATAAGGCATTCTTATTAGAGTACATCACGAATGTGTTTCTGAGTATAATTTCCTATTTAAGTAAGAGGAGAGATTCGAATTAAACTTCAGACACACATTCGGAAAACAGGTTCTAAGAGCAACTTCACAGGCTTGCCCATCCATGTGGAAGCAACAACAAGATTGCAAGTTGCTAAGTATCAGTAAAATTTCATCACCAATGCGGAGCTGAAGTTGTGGCTTTCACACTTACCAAACTGTTGGCTAACGGCCTCAGGAAGAGCCTGATGCAGGTCATACACATAACCTTCATGCTCATCCTTTGCTTGCAACATGTACTCTGCATGTTCATCAAGGTTCTCAGACAGAATAAAACAGCCAATATAACCGTGTTTTCCTTGTACCTAGAGTAAGACAAGCAGGTCCATCAAAAAAAAAAAAAGAGTAAGACAAGCAGTCAACAAAGTCAACACCTTCCATTCAATCTTCCCTGTATGGCACAAGTCATCAAATAATATAAGGATTGCCCATCCAATACAAGGAAAATACTTAAAAAAATAAAATAACTTGTTTCAATGACCTTGAAAGTTGGACATTCAAGTTTCCTGATGGCTTCAAACAATAAAGAAGAGAGTCTACAAACAAATTATAGGTAATTTAGTGCTAAAAGAATCATAATAGTTGAATGGTTACACTCAATCAATCACAGAAACCTTTTGCATTAAATTTTTTTAATGTATGCACGTAATAACAAAGATTGAGATAAAATAATATTTGTCCAAATAAATTTTTTAAAGGCCATAGGACCATAGGTACTTATTCCATTTATAACTGAAGAAACAACATCCAACTGACACGAATAAGTAATAAGAATCAATTGTGGGGCAAAAGGATCCTGACAGCTTTCTTATTCAAGAAAAGAAAAAGGTACAAAGAATTCTTGAACAACATAAACATTGACCGTATCACTATAATCTCACTCACTCCATACTGAAAAGTTAAGAATTACAAATGAGAAAATAAATTTCAACAACCCCTCCAGTTGGAAAAAGAGGCTTACCAATAACCTGTCAAACTTGGAAACCACTGGATGAGCATACTCCAATTGTTTTATGGCATAAGAGAAGTCATTAGCTGATCAAGGCAACAAAAGTAACCATGAATAAATTCGGAAATGAACAATCATCAAAAGTGTATAAATGACCGAACAAAAATTAAAAGAAAAAATAATGAATTCCATTTGATAACGTTCAAAATAGACTTTGAATTGTATGCTCTACACTTCTATTTGTCATTTACTTCTTCAGTTTCTTTCTATGTGAGGTGCCAAGGTTGCAACCATGCAACACCTTATAATGATATAATTGGGTAAGACAAATAAAATTCAAGCTAAATGGCAAGTGACAACAAAATTTGACTTGTGCCCCTACAAAGTGAGATTCCAAATCCTCAATGCAATTGAGATCCAGAAGAAGGATTAAAAGCAAAAGAGACCCACCTGATCCTTCATGGGTGGACTGAAGTCCTGATGCTTTGTAGTTTATGTCTCCCTCTCCAACTGACCTTTCCTTCAACAAACTTTCCGAAAACCCAGTAGATACCAACGGAACAACAACAGCTGCCACATTATCCATACTGCCCTTTTCAAATGCAGTATTCACTATGCAATCAGCTAATGAGTATGAACATGAGGAAGAGAGCTCGGATCTCCCAGAATCATAACTCCGTACTTCCCACAACAAATCACAAACATCCTGCACGTTCAGCTTCTCAAAAACTCCATCAGATGCAGCCACCAGATAAGTATCATTTACAGTCAGGGGTTGCCAATCAGTCAACTCTGGTGCAGATATGACCCCATAACTGATGACAGTCCAGTTTAAAAGTTAAATCGAGAGAAAACGTAATTAAGGTTTCCATGAGAAGGGAAAACAAGGAATGTAAATTACTACACATAATCAGAAGCTCCTTCTAAAATACAATAGGATCAAAAGAAAAAATAGTACAAAATTTGCAAATTTTGCTACTGTTTCTGAACCTCACCTTTTAAAGGAGACATCACCAATAGCTCGGGAAATAGCCAGCTCACCATTCACTCGAGGCACACCACCCCATTCAAGAACATAGCCACCGGCAGTTTCCACCCGTAATTTTTCATCGTCTCTGTCAGGATGATGATCTCTTGTCAATTCCTTAACAGAAAAATGCACCACTCCAGTGGAGGAAGCCAAGTCCAAGTTTTTATAGTTTCTTAGGCGTGAAATAGCACCATTACGCCTTTCCTGCCTGTATAATCTTAAATAAGTGGCTGCAATGCATAAACACAAAATAAATAAATAAATAACCTCCACCATTTTCTTATCTTTTGAAATGTTAACCAAACAGAGCAACGGTAAATTATACTCCCATTCAAACATACAAGAATCTGACTTAAAGCTCTGGTCATGCAAATTTTTTCTTTAAAAATTAAGTGCGTTAAACAGTAAACAGCTTCATTTAGGAAAATCCTTCTGACCTTTAGCCTCTGCAGGAGATTGAAATTTTTCTGAGCACAATAAAGCCTTTGAGTCTCCAATATTTGCAACTAAGATTTGACCGTCAGCAAGTAGTATAATCGTAGCTGTGGATCCAGAAACCAGATTTTTTCTAGATGCTTCCTTCATAAGTTAATATGAGGAACATCAATAGAAGGCTAAAATATAGAACAATATGCAATACAATTTGAACCAAGCAGAGAAACATCAAATAGAACATACCATCGAAAATTTTGCATCTATATCATGTATTGCCCTCAACAATGCTTCTTTCAAAATTTCAAAGTGAAAAGAATCGTCAAAATTTGCTTGGAATGAATGCTTAAACCTGAGAAATCATAACAAACTAGAGATAAGTGCCAAATTGGGTATCCAAAAAGGCCCCTAGAAAACAAAACTATACAGGAACAAATGAGATTAGTTTTTCCGTGTACCAATTTTACATTCTGAAATAACCAAACCAGTAAAACCTACAACTCAAAATTCTAGACAACTAAAAGTTGAACAATGTTAAGTTTCAAGTTCATATTGTTTGACTGGTTTTTGTAAATTATTCATGTAAAACGACGGAAAGCATTTCTGGTTTACATAGAAAGGAGATAATTATAAAGAAATGTACCTTCCAAGATCCAATTCATGCCAATTGAGTAGGCCATCCCAATTATACCGTTGAAAAATAGAATGATGTTCTGCACTAGTTTGCAAACTTCCCGAGCCTTTCTTCAAGATAGCAGAGTATGCTGCATCGATGAGAAAGTAGGTATGCAAAACGAAATACTCTAATAAAAGCTTCGAAGCCATCTCACTAGCTTCAGCCCCATTATGACCATCGAAAACAGCAACAATTCCAACTGTAACCTCCTTAACCCCTGCTTTACCTGCTCCAATATCACATTCATAGTATGAACGGTCAATAATACCAATATAAAACGCAGAGTCCAATCCAATTACAACAATGCCCTAACACCAATTCAAAATTAACAGTTCAGATGAGAGAGAGAGAGAGAGAGAGAGAAATTAGGGCACCAGGGAAGGGGATGCGAAGGTCGAGGACGCAGAGGGTGCGATCCTCGAGGGACTTCCGGCGACCTTTAAGCATGGCGGTTTGACAGCGCGAGGTGCTTCGAGAGTAGGAAGCATAATCGGAGTGCGTCCAGCGAGGGCATTTTGGGGATTGGAAGACCGCCGGAGCACCGCCTTCTTTGTAGACCGTCAAGCACGTCGACGATTCTCCGTGAGAGAGAGTCGCAACGGCTAGTATTATCAGAAACCCTAATGGGAACAGGAGACCTCTGTAAGCCTCCATCTACTGCCAGTTTGTTACTATCCGTTGTAAAATTCAATTTCTAACATAACGATTTCACAGTGAGCGGAAATTGGAAACCCGCAACCCCGTTGCTTATTTATACGCTTTATTTGGCGGCTTTTTCCGCTTCAATTTTTTTGTTTTTTTATTGATTAAAAAAAAGGAGACCCTTCTCTCCACACAAAAAAAACTAACGCCCAATATTGGCGATGGAAAGGGGGTTTCAAAATTTTGTCTGTGAAAGTGGTGATGTCCAGATCGTTACAACACTTTGAAGTAACTTCATAGGTAGGTCTGTCATTGGATATGTGTTGGAGGATAACAAGAGTTTGTTGACATGGGTCACTGGGGAAGGTTTTATCTATATTTTTCGTACTGTTAATGGCGTACTGTTAATGGTGTGGCTCATCGTATAACACACTTTACCTTGAAGGAACTTCCTGATTTTATTTCTGATGTACTATATGAAGATTTTAATTTGTGATCAAAGAATTTCCTTTGCTCTTGACACGAGTTTAGACTTCTTGTATTAACTTTTTCATATAAATAATATTTTATCGCTTATCATAAAAATAAAAATAAAAAACTAAAGCCCAATATCCTTGCCTTTGGCCATTGCAATACCATGTAAAGGTTTATGAAAAAAAAAAAGTTTAAAAATGTCCTTTTATAGCCTATATTGATAAAATGAACTCTAATTTGTCCTTCAAAATAATTGAAAAACAAAGAAAATACTTTTCACCTTCTCGTTTTTTTCCTCCTCTAATATCCCTCGAGTGGTGTTTGATTGGTGAAACAAAACTGAGTATAAACAAGAAGGGAATTATATTCCATTAAGCTTGATTCAAAATAAGAATCGACAATCAATTATGACTAGTGAACTTTGGTATTGGAACAAAACATGAAATTTACCGACAAAATAGTAATTATTAGCCATACATCATGCTTGGGTACCCAGACCCTTGGAATTCAATCACAAACCCTAAGTTTAGGGTCCAAGTTTAAGGCTATGAATCAACCACCAAACCCAACACCACCTCCGTGATAACCCTTAGATTTCATCCCTTCTTGTAACACCCCAGCTTGCCTAGTTGAGTGCTTCATTCATGTTGTGTCACATCTTGATTGTGAAGTTGATGTGAATGAAATTAACTAACTGTAACTTCATACTGGTGGGGACAAAAGACTAAAGGAGAAAAACTTATCGGAATAAATTATATACAGTTTTTCTAAAAGTTTCTCTCATTACTTGATTGTCACGTGATAAAAGCTGTCATGCGATAAGACTAAAGGAGAAAAACTTATCGGAATAAATTATATACAGTTTTTCTAAAAGTTTCTCTCATTACTTGATTGTCACGTGACAAAAGCTGTCATACGATAAAAAGCGATGTAAAGAGAAATTATGTACAACAAGAATAGCTAAATCTTTCTCTGACCCAAAACAAAATTAAGAGTTAAAAGGGTAGGCTGGTCAACTCATGACTTCCAAATGGCAATATCCTGAGAGGTACTCACATTTGGATGGTACAACAATATTAGGACCAAATCCTTGGTACTTGTCCACCAAGGTAGGTCAAATGCAATCACAAAACCGGACTGGTCAAATCCTAAATTCTTCAAAAGGCAAGCATATCAAGGACACCTGTGTCTTTACATTTCGATGAAATCCTGGGTTCTTGACACGTGCCCAGAACTCTCAACCCCAAATGATGAAACCACAAGTCATGATCTTACACGTGCATTATGATCCAACCAAAAATACAAAGCCCAACACATTAGGCAGGCCTAATCCTTGCTTTTAGATTCAACCCTAAACTCAACCCGTAATTTTGGTTTAAGGTTTAATCTTCAAACCCAATCCTTGTTAGATTACCCTAATTATCATAGATAAACAAATATTTTATTTAAAAAATTTCTAGTAGCTTCCAGAATAATGAAGTTTAGATATTTTGTTCTACAGTTGTGGTCCTATAATTTGTACAGGAGAGAGTGAGAATCTTACAAAAAAAATAACATATAATACAAGTGATGCTCAACTTTTATTTGATTAAAAAATTGCAACTTGTCCGAATAGGCGCAGTGCGTGACTTGTGATTGTAAATATTATATTGTGGGTACGGAGCACCGATGGCTCTGTGCTGACCAATCCACTTTCTTACACCTGTACCGATAAGGTAGCGTGTCCACATCTGAGGACACCACGTATGCCCATTTTCTTTATTTCTAGATTAAAATACGTTAGATTAACGTAATAAACGAAGATAAGCATATAATAACAGCCCTGTTGGACGTACGTGTCCGGTGGTGATTGGCCCACGTATGCCCTTGTGGTGATTTTTGTGCAGAGACCCAAGAGGGTATAGACTCAACCTGCTGATTTGGTCTTGCTGTGTTTGATTAAGAAGGATTCCCTTTGGATTTAAATGATTACTTTAATGGCCACTAGAATAAAAAATTGCTTGCAACTTTGAACCAAAACCTAATATGGGAAAGGTGGGATCTTTACCAATGTGACCCTTCGGAGACTCATAGGGTAGAGTCTTGATTTTTTTGTTGGACAACCATAGGGCTCTTGTTTTTATCTTGTTTTTATCTTGTTTTTAAGTCAGTTGATTAAGATAGTATGTTCTGCTTGTGCACTAGAATTTGATCCCTGTCTCTATACACGAGAGTAATTTATAATATCGCTTTGTTTAAAATAAAACTACCATAAAGTTTTACTCGTTTAAAACTTACATTGAAGACCCAAGGCAAAGTTGATTTAATCTTTTTAGAAAGAGGAAATCAAGACAAAGAAAATGCCATCATAACCTAAGCAGATAAGAAAGCAAAACATTCTCAACGCAATGACACATTGACACCTCACTTATTGTACCAGATATGATTTAATATTTCCTCGTCCCTACCAAACGCGTTTTTCAACTCTAAAATCCCTTTGCATAAATTTTTTATTTATTATTTTTTAAATATTTAGCTCTACCAAATAGTGGTTTTTCATGTGATGTCACCCAATTATAACTTATAAGTGGGGTCCATACATCGTCCAATCAGATTTTAGAAATTCACAAAACCAATCTTGTAAGGCCCCCCCATGCCTCCACCATACCATGGAACTTCCAGAACTTTCCTAAGGACCACATTCTCTATTCTCAAATGCTTGCCCAAATGGGAGAGAGAGAGAGAGAGAGAGAGAGAGAGTTAGTGGCTCAATAGAAAAATTGAAATTGAACTTAACCCCCAAGAGATCTAGAACTTTCCCAAAATATTTTAGAAAAATGATTAAGACTACTGAACTCTATTTAAACCCTTGTGCTCTTATTGAAGCAGCTTCTTCTTCTATGTGCGTGTGACAAAAAACTGCCAACTATATAACGGCTTAAACGACTTTCCCGAAGAAGAAAGCGCCCAAATCCAAAGGCTTTATCTTGCAGTTTCCCTCTCTCTCTTCCCATTGAAGAGCTCGTTCTTAGTAAGATTCAGCTCAAATTTCCCTTTCCTTGATCAGTAAATCTCAAAAGTTTGGGCCTTTGAGTTCGTACTTAGCAGCTTTTTGACAACTTCGTCTTCTTTCTTGCATTTCAACAACAACCCATATCAGTTTTTTTTCTGTTTTTTGTGTTGAACAATCTGACCCAGAATTTGATTTGGAAGCAAAGTAGTAAAATTGGTAAGAGAACCAAAACCCATCTGGATTTTGTTCATCTTTCTGCAATTATTGCCATGAACTATCTGTACCCAGTGAAGGAAGAGTTCCCGGGTTCAAGTTCATCACAATCGGGTCCTGGTGACCCGGTGGTGATGATACCGCCACAGCCAATGGAGGGTCTGAATGACACAGGCCCTCCTCCATTTCTGACCAAGACCTTTGACATGGTGGATGACCCGAGTACCAATCGGATAGTTTCTTGGAGCAGAGGAGGTGGAAGCTTTGTTGTTTGGGATCCTCATACCTTTGTTATGAATCTCCTTCCTAGATACTTCAAGCACAATAATTTCTCAAGCTTTGTCAGGCAGCTCAACACTTACGTAAGTGTTTTCACCCCCAAGCTGAAATCTTTAATTGGTTAGTGAAACCTTCAATCCTCTCATCAAGTTTTAGATCTTCAGTTTAAATGTATATGGAAATAATCCAGTTCATGTGGATGATCCTTCATTGATCCCTGGTATGTTGTTTGTCTGAGTCCCTTTCAATTTTTTTACCTACTTATTTTCAGCTGATTTATCAAACAAATAGAAATTTAAAAAAAAATCTTCCCATTGAACTAAATGTTTTTTCATCATGTTGAATTCTTTCTCTTGAATCTGCTTAGAATTCATTTGGGTTGCTGAAGTTTCACTGTACTGGTGGTTTTCTGTAAATTATGAATGTTTTTTTCTTTCTTTTTTTTTGGGTGAAAATAAAAGTTTACATATCTTTTGTTTATGTATGGATGTTCTTGTAGGTTCTGGAATTTCAGATGATTGTACTGTTTGCTCATGGAAATAAATTATTCTGTGTTTATCATCTGCTGTGTTTTCCCCTCCACCCCCCCATTTTTTTAATTTATGTTACTTTCCACAGTGCTTTCTTTCTTTAATACCGTTGTTTCTTTTTTCTTTTTCTTTTTTGATTAAGTAAGGGGGCAAAGCCCCAAGCAACAGACTACACACTGGTCTAAACAGACCAATCTAGAATGAACAATTCCAAGCAAATCATCAACAAGATAAGCACTTAACCAACTAGGGGCATGCTCAAACACGCACAGCCCAAGATAAGCACTATACCGTTGTTTCTTTAATATCTCCTCCCAATGGCTCACCTTGCTCAATTTCTACTGGTGTCAAATCTCAAAAGTTAGTAATATAATATTCAGCACTATCTGAGCTCCTTTGTCAGGTGCAGGCTAATTGATTCCTTTAATTTCATTCCACCAATAATGATAGATATATATATTTTTTGTGTCTATCAATTACTTGATGGGTATTGGGTGAAAGCGTTAATGGAGAAGCTTTAATAGATTTCTGAATCTGATTGGGCAATTAGGTTTGTAAAGTCATTGGTTCTTGGGAATTTAGTCCTAAATGTAATTGAACTTCTGCAGGGCTTTAATTGATTCCCTTAATTTTATTCCACCAATAATGATAGATATATATATTTTTTGTGTCTATCAATTACTTGATGGGTATTGGGTGAAAGCGTTAATGGAGAAGCTTTAATAGATTTCTGAATCTGATTGGGCAATTAGGTTTGTAAAGTCATTGGTTCTTGGGAATTTAGTCCTAAATGTAATTGAACTTCTGCAGGGCTTTAGAAAGGTTGATCCTGACAGATGGGAGTTTGCCAATGAGGGGTTCGTAAGGGGTCAGAAGCATCTCCTTAAGAACATTAAAAGAAGGAAGACACCTTCTCAGCCTCTTCCTGCACAACAAGCTCTAGGCCCTTGTGTGGAAGTAGGCCAGTTTGGGCTAGATGGAGAAATTGATCGTTTGCGGCGTGACAAGCAGGTCCTAATGATGGAGTTGGTGAAGCTTAGACAGCAGCAGCAGAATACTAGAGCCTACCTTCAAGCAATGGAACAAAGACTACAAGGGACCGAAATGAAGCAGCAACAAATGATGGCTTTCTTGGCAAGGGCAATGCAAAACCCAGCTTTTATGCAGCAGCTAGTCCAACAGAAGGATAAAAGGAAGGAGCTTGAGGAAGCCATGACTAAGAAAAGGAGGAGGCCAATTGATCAAGGACCTAGTGGTGTTGGTGGTGGCAAATCGACCCTAAAGGGCAAAGGAACAAACCTCATTAAATGTGAGCCTCTCGAATTTGGAGATTGTGATTATGAAATGTCAGAGCTAGAAGCACTTGCATTGGAAATCCAAGGATTTGGAAAGGCGAGAAAGGAACAGGACGAAGAGTTAGAGCCACTACAGAGTGGGAAAGAGCTCGATGAGGGATTTTGGGAAGAACTATTTAGTGAGAGATTTGAGGGAGACTTCAGCATTCCAAGTGCAATAGAAGGGGAAGATGAAGATGTGATTATCTTGGCCGATCGCTTAGGTTACTTAGGTTCATGCCCAAAGTAGAGCTAGCTAGCTGCACTTCTTCAGCATTTCTATCTCTCTCCTCTTCAGTTCACTGCCTCATTGACCATTTCTTTTTGGGTAGGAGGCTAAGGCCTCCAACAGTTGTTTCCATAGTCTCTCATTTTGCATCTCTACAGTCTCGTCAAGTGCCATTAGGCCATAACTTTCATTCTGGATTTCTTGGTATTGACAGGATAGGGGGATTAGCAAGCTGATATCCGTTGAAACCATCTTTGTTTCTGGTGTTTCTAACCCTGCGCTTCTTTATTAATTGCCTCCTTTTCTCATCTAATAATGCCCTCTCTTGTTTCTTTATCTTGGTTAGGTTGCAGGCATTGCTTGGACAGAATCTGTGCTAGTTTTTATGATGATTTATCTCAAGGTTCTTGTTTAATTTTCATATCTGAAAAACTGTTCCATGTATCATACATGAAATTAATTATGTCTCTCTCTCTCTCTCTCTCTCTCTCTCTGCCTGTTGTAATCTATTTTGGCCTCTTAAATGAATGTAGATTTGTTGAGAAGCTGTTGAACTTGAAAAGGAGTAGCTGCAAGCTCCAAGAACCATAAACAAAATGTTGTTTTTGGATCCAAGTGACTATTGGCTGATAACTTTGTCAGTATGATACTTTCTGTTACTGAGTACTGTCCTATGTTGTTTGAGCAAAGATATAAACAGAGGTAGTTGGGTAATATGAACTTCATAATGTTACATTTGTACCATGTAGATTTGTTCATGTCGGGCAAATACGGTTCTCATCGGTCACTTCATCAGCCGTGGACTCTCAAACTGGTACAGTATCACTCTTTAAAACATCACCATAAAAAATGTGTTCCTTACCCAATTGATGTCTTACTTACAGTACAGATGAAGAAAGACAGGATCCGAGTATCAAAGTAGATTGACTGGGTTGAACTTGAAGATCATAATATGATTCTAACTCTACAAGTAGGGTTAGAATGTGTTTAATTTATGTGAGTAATCATTGAAACTTCGGTCTGCAAGATTCTGTAATTAGGCTGAGATTTGTAGTCAGGTGGATTATAGAAAGTTATGTGCCTAGCGGATGATAGAAAGTTTCAATAGAAGATGGACTGTTCCACCCTTAAAAATCTTAGGCTAACCAATTCAAGAAATCACAACCCTTTAATTTTTGCTTAGTCTAGTGTTGTGCACTTATTAGGCTGCCATGTGTTTTAACATTCCCCATGATAATGTGTGATTGGCTCAGGATATTGTCCGGTGACATCCCCATTTTATAAAAGTTTTTCTCGTATTTGGATATCGGTTGGTCCAATTTTGAAATCATAATCTTCCCAGCCTCCTCGACCAAACCCAGTTTCCCATTTCATCAATCTCCCAAAACCCACATCAGTTCCTGCACCAGAAGGAACCCTCAAACCCCACAATAAAACAACCCCCATGAGCTCTATTTCTTCTCTTCTTGGAAATATTTCTCCCTGGTTGATAAATGGGCCAACGTGTAATATTCACAAAAATGTCCATCACTTCAGCCCATGCTTGCTCAAATTGGGTCTGTAGTTGTGCCCGCTAACTTCCCGTGGATCATTGCAGCCTCCGATGATGGTTTTTTCAGCCCATAGTTTGAGAGGCCAGGAAATACTCAACTTTCATGGGATCAAGAATTCTATAGTGAGGGCCTTATATATGGTCCTTAAGTGAGACCCTATTTCGTAATATTTGGATCAAATTGGTTAGTCATTAGATCAAATTGGTTCGTCTGATTCAACGGTTAAGAATTATGACCTTACCTAAGGGTCATATATAAGGCCCTCACTAAAGAATGACTCGGGGTATGAAGGCTTAGGAGCCCTCTCTTAAAAATCAAATATATAAGAGCATTAACCTCTGCACCCAAGGTCCTAAGGGTCATATATAAGGCCCTCACTAAAGAATGACTCGGGGTATGAAGGCTTAGGAGCCCTCTCTTAAAAATCAAATATATAAGAGCATTAACCTCTGTACCCAAGGTCCTAGGTTCGATTCTTCTCTCTCCAGTATCGCTTGTATTAAAAAAAAAAATCAAATATATAAAAAAATCTTTGTATTTTCATAGGTTTGGAAGCCAGCACTTTCCAGCTTTCATGCTCTATGTCGGTGGAATTTTAGGCAGAGCAGGCAGGGCAAGGCATTAGCAATAGGAACATGTCAGAAAGTCAAAATATGAGATACTTGTAAATCTGGACAAGATTATTGAGTGTGTAAAGGATGCAATGCAAGAGGGTTTCTTCTCAACAAAAAATGAGTGCACTCGGCACATTAATATATTAATTAAGATATTTTAAGCCATGTCATAAATGAGTAGTTTAGGCGCCTAAACAAGTTTATCTACTAATTAAGCTTGGAGAGGTGAGCAGAGAAAGTGAAGTGTCATGGAAGGTCCTCCTCTGTATTTTTTCGCCTTTTCATTTGCCTCCAAAGCCAAAACTTGCATGTGAGAATCTGGCAATAGAAAGAACCCGTGAATAAGGCATGGCCCGCATTTGTATTTTCTTTCCGGTTCATGAAAAAAATATGAAATGTGCCTCTCTCTCTCTCTCTCTCTCTCTCTCTCTCTCTCTCTCTCTCTCAGCATGCAGAACAGAGCATAAGAAGAGAAGAGAGTTATAATAAGGTAGCTTCAAATTAGAATCAGCAAAGAACAAACAAACAATATGAGATGGCTGTCATTAACTTCATGTGTGCTTCAATTACTTGAAAGGGTAAAACTTTCACATCTCCATGCTACTTGGGTTTCTCAGCTTGGCCAAATCTTGTGGTCCTACTTTGTTTACTATTAAACAATAGTTAGTTGTTTTACGCCATCTTTGTAGATGCTTATGTTTAATTAGCAAAATCCCATTTTTAATTGAGGGGTTGCCCATAGTTTCTTGATCTAATGAAACCATTATAGTCATGATAATGTATATACTTTCCTATCGATCAATCAATCGTTTGCTTAATTAAGTTTAGTGCAATTTAATTGATTAAGTTGTTTTATAAATCCTTGTGGGTTCGACTTCCTACTTGCATATATATACTATTGTTGATTCGTGCGCTTGTGAATATTGTCCATTGCCTTAACAATATCATCAAACTAAGACTATAATAAGCCAGTCCCATTGAACATTTTGGTCAATTTGTAAATGCCACCAACTTCCAGTTCCAGGAGCCTAGCTGGATCCAAATATATGGTTCTGGAGGACAAATTTTGACCTCTGTTTGTCCTTAAAAGGATCTCCCCTGTTTGTCAAATGTCCTTTAATCTTCTCTTTTTCAGCTAAAAACCAAATTAATGTGTTGAACAAGGAAAAAAAAGGTAACAAATCATACTCAACCAAACACTAAACAACAAGCAAGAGCCCCAAAAAACCAAAACACATTCAAAGGCAAGGGATTGCTCTGTTTGTCAAGTTTCAATTAATAAAGCAAAATGATCCAGTTTCCGTTTGCCCCCTTATAATTTCACAATAAATTTTTGGTTAACTTGGTGAAAAGCCAAAATGGTGGGTGGAAAATGTTTTGGGCAGTGATTTTACAGAGAATATTGCCTTGTTCAGTTCAGTTCTAATTATGGACTATGATGTTACAGTTAGAGTGCTCTACCCAAATTTTGGGGAAGGGGGAATTCGAACTCGGGTGCTTTTGTTAATTTCATGAGCCATTGTGCATTGCAGTGTTTGCCTTAAAGGTGATGATCAGTGAAGCATAAATATCATCTTATCCCAAAAGAAAAGAAGATGAATCTCACTAAAAAGCCCTGCATATTCAAAAGATTTAGATCAAAAGAAACCACATAGGATTCCAAAAGGATTTATAAGAGCAAAAAAAAAAAATTAGATGAACTTTGATGGGTCCTATGCCCAACACGCCTAAGGCTTAAGGGTTGGTTTGCATGGTTGCTGCCATGTTATATTAGGCCACGCATGGCTTCAAAAGGAGGAGAATCCCTTGCCAAGGACACTTTTAACCATCTTATGATATAAAAGTAGAGGGCAAAGGGCTTGCTAATTTTGTCAACTCATGGGGACAAAGTGGACAATTCGCTTATGGCTCTAGATTTGGGTTTGGAATAAAGAAAGTTAAGAGAAAAGAGAAAAGAGGGTAAGGGGAGGGCCTTCCAAATTCCCTCCTTGGTGGGGTTTGTTTGGGGCACTTTCACTGTACACTAGGATCTGAGAGAATAATAATAACAAAAGAAGGAGAGACAGAAAGGGAAAAGAAATCCTCAAATATATTATGGCAACCAAGAAAATGAATTAATTCTAACCCTCCATAATAATTCAATGACAACTTGATGAAAATAATTGCAGATAGAGAAGCTTGGAGTAATATTTAAAATCACCCAAAAAATCATTATGTGTTTTTCAATAATTATAGGTTGAGATAGGAATAAGGTGGGATGTAACTCACAATAAGCAAGCAAGGCTTCAAATCAGAAAATTCAACATCACCCAAATGATTCATTTCTCACTTGTGAATATAAGGGCTCGTTTGAGACTGCTTCTCTAGGAAGCACTTCTGCTTATAAGAGCTTTTATTATAAAGTTGTTAAAAATTTCATAAAAAATCGAAGTACTTCCTGAAAAAGCACTTGGAAGTGCTATATGAAGAAGCGCATGACAGGTGCTTCTCCATAAAGCACTTCTATGGCCCATAAGCACTTCTACAATTTTATGCTAAACGCTGTCAGAAAGCGCTTTTAGCTCTTCCAGAAATACTCCCAAACGGACCCTAAGTTAAATTGGCTAGAGCAGATGTGCTCCCAACTCAGAATCCGAATTTGAATCCATTTTCCCGCAATTTAGATTATATAATTTTATATATAAAAAACATAATAGGAAAAATTAAGATTCAGGAATTAATGATTGAATAAAGGTAGACAAATTTTGTTAGTGTTTTATATAATTGCACATAAAAAAATATTCATAAAATAGTCAATCAATGGACCAATCATGTTAATAGTGGGGTATTATATATTATAGAAAAAGGTGGAGTTGAGAAGGGTCGGTCCATCTATCTATCTATATTGCCTTTTGCCACCACCACCCTTTGCCATGAGACAAAGCTTTTTAAGCTTCTCATTTTCCTAAGTCTTCTTCATGTAAGAAATCCCTCCTTTTAATATTCATTCCATTCAAAATCAATCAAGGCCCTTTTAGGGTTTGGGTATTTTATTACAGCAACAAAGGAAAAGACAGAAAGTGCCAACGTCACACTTCAAAAATGAAAACTAACACACACAAAATAATTGAATTTTTTAAAAAAAAAAGAAGAAAAAGAAATCTAGTGATGAATTGAGTGGATATTGGGCTTCTTCCTCGTCTTTGCTTTAGCTGACCTCCTTTGCAGAATTTCTAGCTTTTTCTTGGGTTCCTTAGCTTAGCCTTTTTCCTCTACTTGTGTGTTATTTCTTTTTTTTATTATTTTGTTTCAAGAAATTTCCAATTTGCCTCGCTTAGTCTGCCACTATAATCATCACACTATCTGTACACTACAAGCCTACAAAATAACACACCAGGCTGCTACTGAGTACTGAAATATCCTCTTCATAATTTCCCCTGTCGCTCTCTAACTTCAAATATATATATAGAGAGAGAGAGATAGAATCATATAGAAAGGAGAGGCTTATTGGATAGCGATAAGGTCCTGAGTCAAAAAAAAAAAAAAAAAACATCTTATTGTCTGTTATTTCCATGTTGGATTTGCATGGACAACAGCTCTTGATGATGGTCTGAGAGAGAGAGAGGGACATCTGTATTGTATTGGTTTTGCAGAGTTGCTCAGAGAAGCAATCCATGCCCCATGGCCTAGCTAAGATAGTGACATGGAGATCGAATAACCCATCATCATCATCATCATCATCACTACTTCACGAGATTGAATATATATTTTTTGCTTTTTATTTTTTGCCACTCAAAAATGAATATATATTTATGTGTTTCTGTGCTTCTGCCACCTGTTGTTTCTGCTTATTAGTTTGTGTCCAAAAGCAGCTAGCTGGGATTCTCTCTATCTTCTGCTTAAGTTTAAGTCTTTCATTTCCCCTGCTAATTTGTTCAAAGGTGCAAAAGTGAACAAGCAGGAAGGAGGGAGAGAAGATCTCGCTATTCTCAAATATCTAAAGACATCTCTCATCAGCTTCCTTTTAAATTTAATTTGTTTTTCTCTGTTTTGGAGTTTTCCTCTCAGTCCAAGAAGCAACAATGTTTCCTGCTATGTCTAATTCCACTTCTTTGTCTGAGGAAGCTAATAGTCTTTCTTCTGACTTTGGCCCCTTAAACCCACTCCTCCTCTCCACCAATATTTCTCCTCATCAATCTGATCAGCACCACCAGCACCCAACCAACAAAATCA